TTTTGGTTAACATCTGATGGCCTAAGTCACATTCTATATGATAGACCACAGCATGCAAACGACTCCTGACACCTAATTGAAGACCCAACAACCACAGAGAAGGTCACAATTTCCAGGAAGCAGAAAGACTTGAGTCTTAGGTCTTGTCACCTATCAAGCAGTAAACCCTGGTTGATTTTAACAAGGTTGCTTTCTGATTTACTTTTATGTTTTAGCCCACAGCTTAATTGCGATCACATGTGAGGCATAATATAATAATAATAATATTATTATATAACACATGTTAAATAAATTATACAGAGTCTGACTTCCTTTCTTATACAGATCATTCTCATACATTCATTGGTGAATACAATTTATTGTATTTTACAGTTTGTGTCAGAGTACAACTGCCAGCAAGCAATAGCTATTGAATGGATGAAGGGGCAGCCGAAATGGTGTCGGGAGTTTGGCTTTGGTTGGTCTATGGTGAGACTACCATACGAGATTCTCATATTCGGATTTCTCCAACCGATTCTTGCAATGATCGCAATCGTGTGGCCATATAGCAAAATCGCTGAATACGTCTTCCTCCCAAGAACATCTTTTATGATGGAAACCTTCTCGTTTCTCATTTTCTTGGCGATTCACATCAAGAAAAGTATAACCTTACTTCACTCAGGTTCAAACAAGAATGCGGCCATCAATGTCATTGACTTTGAGCATTTTGTTAGCACTTCGTTGCCGATGATGTACCACTTTCTGTGGGTGATAGGTTCTTTTTTGAAAGAATATAATGTAATCAGATATCGTGGTCTCAAACAATACCTCATCGATGTATGGAGACTCACCTATATATTTTGGCTGGTTATGCTTCTCGCACTTTACACCAAGGTCGGCGTGGACATCATTGTTGTACATGACTTGTCAACAACCAGTATGCGCCCACTTGCCTGCTTTACTATTACTATAGGTGTCCTGCAAGGAATGCGATTACTGGAGAACAGCTATTTCCTAGGTAAGATGCTGCTCTCCTTTCAGAAGATGGTTCCCGATGTAATACGCTTCTTCTGCGCATTTTTGCTGATAGGAACCTCCTTTGCTTTTGGATTGTTTCTTTTATATGATGATATACCTGGTGAACATTTACGCTACAAAGGGTACGTTGAACATAATGTTCCTATATGTCGCACATTCTACCAGTCAAGCGCTTCACTGCATGTAACTAGTCAGGAATGTGACAATAAATTACATACAACACACATTTTTTTTTTCCTTGCAGATTTGATTATATGATAGCAAAACTATTCTGGGCACTATTCGGAGTACACGACATCGCGTCTCTGTCCATCATTGATTCCTGCTCTCCAAATACGTCATCAACCACGAACGATTCGGTGAACGGCGACTCCCATCTGACGTACGATGAACTTATGCCTCTAGAGCAGTCTGGTAAACTCATGTACTCGATATACTGTGTGACTGTTATTCTAGTCTTTCTAAACGTGATCATTGCAATGATGTCTGACACGTACTCGAAAGTTCAGGTAAACATAGCCAAGACAGCATAATGTAAATATGTATGGGACGCCGCGCTGCGACGCGTCGGATATGGGTCTCATGCGATGCATCACTCTCCGTTAAAGCAACATGTACATTACACAAACCACGACAAATGTGACGAATTCAAGTCGTTAGTCGAATTTCGTAACATGTGAAAATGTTGGACAGCTATATATGTACGAAAATACGTTGAAAAGACAATATTTATCACACTGGATATTGTCTTTTAACGATTTTAGATTCAGTGACGGGGGAGTCGTTACCTGCGCATGCATTAGATGGCCATAGCGTCTACCCATGCGCCTTAGCGTGTGTTGTTATCGTCGCTTGAAAACAACTCCCACGCGTGCGCAGGTGACGACCCTCCCGCTTCAATCAGAAAAAATGCACTGGATATAATATTACTCCATCCTTCAAAAATCGAAACAATTGCATGGTTTAGTTGATTGTACAAGCAAATCAGATTGCACAGCATATAGAAATTCAAATTCTTAGACGCAAACACAGTTTAGTTT